ATGGATTATGTGCATGGGAGGAGAGATGGTTATTATGACACTCCAAGGACTGCTGATACAAGATTTCATTGGGATCATGTGTTTAGCCCTGAGGATTTTGCAGATATTACCCCCAAACATGTGTATCAATTTTTGGCACTTAAGTGCTATAGAAAAGAGGATCCTGGCCCAGATGATAATCCTATATTTGAAAGGTCTACAACTATTGGTTATGCAAAGAAGGGGATATCCTATTATCTACCCAACAAGACTATCAAGTGGACTGTGATTCAAGGTGTASGGCATGGYAATCCAACGCAGTCGCAAGAGGTGAATAATCTTATTGCAGCGGTCAAGTTGAAGGAAACTAGAGGGCTTGGGGCTCCCTCAAAGATGGATAGACCATTGACTAAGAGCGAATTCTTGCAGGCAGTTGATCTTATATCACAGGAGGCTGGTACTGACATAGATAAGAAGAGATATTTAGCAATGATGTTGACACAGATGCATTTCATGGCTCGCAATGATGATATGGCTCATATCACTAAGGATTCCTTGAAGAGTTGCCCTCAGTTTCCTGATTTTCTGACACTGAAAATGAAGTGGTCCAAAAATGTGAAGGAGGACCGGGACTGCCCTGATCAGATAGTATTGGGTTCTATGGATGAAAAAACATGTGCTGTCCTAGCTTTAGCATTGTTTTTGGAGAAATGGTGCTATGATGGTGAGGGGGCAGTTAGTCAGTGGCTTTTTACCGAAGGATTTAGTGATAAGAGATCTCCAATGAAGATTATGGATAAGGAAGTTAACAGAGGAAAACAGCAGTATTCTAGATTTCTAAATACTCGCGTGTGGAAAAACCGAAGGTTCAACAAAGAGAGACCCGGTAGGCTGGGTACGCACTCTATCAGAAAGTATGCAGTATCATTGTGCAGGAATTGTGGACTCCATAAGGATGATGTTGATTATAGAGCTCGATGGAAAGGACAAAGAAGGCAACAAGATAGGTATACGGACACGCAGCTATTATGGCCTGATATTAAAGTTGCAAAGCGAATGTGTAACGGCGGTGTGTGTTTGTACAAGGTAGTGGAGGGGTCTGGGGTCACAGATCAATGGATTGTTGAAAATGTTACTCCTAATATTGCGAGTGCTTTTGGTGATGATGTAGCAGTAATCCTAGGCAAGGCATTGCTGTGGGCATGCTTTCAACCTTCTATGGTGGGTATTGTTCCAGATGATATCAGAAGAAATGTAATTGCTTCATTTCTTCATCTGAACAATAGAGTGAGAGCAAATGGTGGGGCTGGTATTGCTATTGAAGATAGGAACTCAAACCCAATTCGCAAGGTTGAAGTGGTTCCAAATGAATTAGGTGGACAAGTGACCTTTGATGAGCTGTTTGAACCTGAGCTAGATGAGCAAGGTGCTGCTAATGCTGGAGATGGGCCTTTTGGTGGAAACAGTGCAATGGGAATGAGGAGATCACACCAACAATGGATGAATGTGATGTATGCCAAGATGCACGACTTGCAGAGAAGAATGTCGAATATGGAGAACTTGCTGATAAAGGAATTTGCTGTACAAAAGCAAAGGCACAAGAGGCTGCAGGCTGCATGTAACCGGGCTGCGATGGCTCAAGTAGCCCAGAGGAGAGTGAGGCCACGTCTTGTGAATGCTGGAGCTGCAGATGCTGAGGTTCAGGAGGAGAAAGCAATCCTTCARAGGAGTCCAGSAAACTTGTATGTGATATGGAATGAATGGGAGTCTGGATTTGCTGGTAACAAACCAGCAAAGAACTTCACTGCAGCTGAGCGAAATTCAAAGGAAAACAAGTTCGTGTACTGCAGAAGGAAGCCTTTTTGGTTGTGTATTGAAAGATTGATAAAGAACAGAGCAGGTACTGCTCATGATGCTATCAGGACAGTACTTGATGTGTACAGACAGGAGAAGACTGTAACACAGGTCCTGAAGGCTCTTGCCAAGCATGAGAGGGAAGGTGGACATGTGCAGTTAAGATAGCCGGTTGATTGCTGTGTAATTCCGTTGCTTCGGTTGATTCGATTCGTCGCTTCGGTTGCTTTGGTTCCTTTGGTTCCTTTGCTT